GATTTGGGTTAATCTTTCATCGCGAAATATTGTGTTATTTTCTACATAGTTGCAGTTAAAATTACAATTTATCGGGAATCAAGGCTTTTCTATTTACAATGAGAGATACGACACTGAACCCGTTTTCAGGTGCATCGAGTGAAATAGAATAGGTTCGTTATCTATATTACGTTTAAATTTAATTTGAAATTGTTTAGACAATATATTGCAATTATACGTTGTAGTTTGTAATATAACTGTATTGATTATCTTTAAACGAGGTACATTGTGTAGTAATAATACTTGGATTCGAAAGGGAATGAGAATTATATGGTAAAACGATGCGCCAAAAGTGAGAACGGACGTGCCATTCACGTCAAGCTGCGAATTTACAAGCTGTTTTCCAGCTTTTGTCCTCTCGCCTTTTCGATTCGATACAGGATATACGATCTACCCGATAAATGGTCCTTTTAAATAATGCGTTCCCCGCGGAAGTCGCGCTCGTAAGGTTGCAACTGAATAAACATTCGAATTCACAGTCCTACTTCCGCTTCCATGTTCATCCGTTACCAGAACAACAATTTACTTCCGTAGCCGTTATTTTACAGAGTGATTTTACAGCTTGTCGCCATAAAAGTGTGAGCACAACGTTCCTGTAAGTGGGAGACAGAACGAGAGCAAAATCGAACGCTCTGAGAAAGAACATTCAATAAAAAGGACCGTCTTAAGTACAGCTGCTACTTTTTAGCACTTTTTAGTAGGCATTAAAACATTTGTATAAAAAATGAAATATCTTTACTGAAATTTTTTGATAAATAGCACAAAATGATAATTATATTTCTTTTCTTCGATATAATGCATATTATAAATCACACGAACTCTTTTCATGAAATCTTTTCCTCCGGGCGCACTATTCTTAAATAACTTTGATAATACAAGTAATAGGTAGGAAACATTATAAATAATTACGCGACTATGCAGTTTGCCTAAACTTATTGATTAATTCATTATTATTAAGATTTCATATATTATTTATAAGTAGAAGAAATTTTATGGAATAGAGACATTGTGTTGTTGTGTAAGTCCCTTAAGGAATGCAGTGCAAAAATCGAAATTACCTGAAAATAATAGCGCGTAAATCGTAAATATATTTAATTTATTCAGTTTTACAATTTGAGATTAATTAGGCATGATTGTCTTTATCCATCGTGAGAGAAAAGTTCCTTAAGGGGTGCAACGCAAAAATTAAAATTATCTTAAGATAATAACGCATAATTTGTATTATGCATAGTTAAGTAATCCAATTTTTAACTTTTAACGAGTTATAAAAGAATATTACTATTTGTATCCAGAGGGAGATGCGCAAACATCGAAATTACTCTGATATGAGAGCGCACAATTAACGCATAAATCCTGTATATTTGTTTTTCGGAATCACTTGTGATTAACACGTGCGTGGGAAGGCTCTCTGGCAGCCTACTCAGCTCCTCTCCCATTAAAAATAATAATTGATTGAACGAAACAAGCGCAAAATTTTTTTTTATGGATTTAGAGAGCTCACAAATATAGCGGATTATTATTTATAATTTATTCGTTAAATTTTGATCAAGTGGGACTAGCTAGGCAGATTATTATATTGCGTTACTATTATGACATGATTATTATATTATACAAAATTAGGTGCACATTATATTCAAGATACGCGCATATAACAGAATATCATAAATTTGCATTATAATGCGATAATATATTTTTTCTTTTAAATAATATATATAATTCTGTCTTTTACAATATATATGCTATTTCTTACCAATGAGTTTTATGCGCTTAATTGGAAAATATGTATTTGCAATGTTTTTAATAATGTTAATAACTTTGCATGCGTATTTATTATTTATATCTAAAACGCAGTAGCAATACGCAAATGTCATTAAGCTTGATTAATCCGCGATATCCCGCGTTTAATTTCCGTACGAGCTCTCATAATAATTATAGAAGATAAATCAGAATACGGTGTTGTTCGAGACTGTCGTTAACCTAGTTTCGGTAATAAGAGCATGTTTCGCGTAGAATTTTCATAAACATTTTTTTTAGTCACCTACCAACGTGCACATACACAGCAATGAATAGACGTTGATTGAGTGAATTAGGATAACGAGTGACTACGGAAATAGTATCCGGAAATAATATTCTCTATTTTTTAGAAAGAATATACTGACAACAAGATCTTTCGTTTTGTTATAACTACAATGACCATCGCTATATATTAGTGATAATAATTGTAGAATTTCATTTTTAAGCGAATAGAATAACATAAATTCAAATACCCGAAATGTGTAAAACATGTGACTGTGTATTTTCAAAAGCGGATAAATTTAAAGAGCTTTTTCAGGTCTTTATGTTTTTGATACAAAAATGTATTATTTTTATTAAATAAAAGTTTAAATAATTAAAATGAATAGTGTGAATATTATAAATAAATGTTGTAAAGAACAGCTGTTGCAAAATTACTTTAATATTTTCCCGTATTAGATACTCGAACTTTCTCAAAGTCTCTTTGTGTTTTTTTTGCGACTGATGGCACAAGTGGCCCGACAAAGTTATCATTTCAATAGACAGGAAATAAAGATAGCGTCGGCATTCAGCATATACACGAGAGGAATGGGAGAGAAATAGAGAGGGAGAGAGGCTTAGAGAGATAGAGAAATAGAGAAAGAGATCACGGAGAACTTACTCAATTAAATCTAATCGAATTGCGATACGCGAAACTTCACACATTCTTTGCCTGTGAATTGTGCACGTGCATTCTTCACTTTCGAAGATCAAGGGGCATATCGAATTGTTCGGTCATTCCAATCACGTAGTCAAGTTACGTCGGTCCCACGAAGATCCCAAGTAGCTGCTAGTGCTGCAGTTCAGCGCTTTACAGTTTGCATGCTCGCAGTCGTTGATTTACGGACGTGCGCGGAGGGGGCCACGGAATAGCGGACCTAGGTTTGTTATTGCCGGTGCAACAATCGTTTGTATGCATTACTCTTTGTGCTCGGCTTTATGCATATAATCTAGACGCTGCGACGAAGATGGTCGTTACTAAGACAATGTACCGACCATGTCGAGAAGCACTCTGCTTCTCAACGTTGGTATGTCGCGACATTATTGCGAACCTTGTCGATGGAAAAGGTAACGAATTACACGATGTCGCAGGTTATACAGTACATACCTATGGCATTAGATTAACATATAATTCAAGTATATTTTATGGTACAACAATTATCCTTTTTTAAAAACTACATGTTTTATTTTTTCCATGGTTTACACGAATTATGATAGATCACAAGAAATGTAATATTATACATAAGATAATTGTTTTAATATTTTAGATAGTGATAATAATTTTATTTTCTAGTAATTTATACTTAGTTTCTAGAGTTTATTAAATGTTTTTGAATAATTATAATATTTATAATCAACACTTTATCATTTCTTGCTTGAACGACTTAATCTTGAAATTAAAGATTTAATCTTATAGTCAGTAAAATAATGAGTGTAGTTAATAATACGAAAAGAATACAAGATAAAATATTACATGCTTGAAAGATAATACCGTAGAAACATTACGTCTTATACGAAATATTCGGAAGTATTTAATATTTGCGAAAGAGAGAGCGCAGTGCTCTAATATACAATAATTGCGAGCATATCCGAGTAATCAAAATGATTTCGATATTCTTCGGTTCTGCAAATTTACTCAATAAAATTGGGAAGCGTATTCTACGCTTATACCGCCGCGTTACCACGAATGCCTCCTTGCAGGAGAAACGACCAATATCGGGTCAGACAGATGTTCCTTCGTCGCCGCGTGAATTATCGACTTCGCTCCTCCGTGCGCAATTCCTCCTGCCGGCGTTAGGAAATATTGAAGAATTTGCATATTCCGCATCTCGTACGTGACTGCTCACGACATAACTAACAAGCTTTTTCATCTGTTTTATTTTTCATGTTTCTCATTGGGACAACGACGACGCGACGGGTCGTACTCATCCACGGCTGCTGATAACTCCGGTGGTGGTGACGACGACTCTCTCTAACTACGGTGATGGTGGATTGCGATGACACATTAACGCATTGGTGACGGTGATATATACACGTACACGCACATTGGCACATTTATTTAATTTATTTCATGTTTGCTTGGAAATCTTGCATTTATCCTCGATGTTATATTTTTCGTTGACACTATTAATTATTACTATCATTTTATTAACTATTCATGTACGTACACTAATGCTTATATTACTAAACAACGAAATGCATATCCTTTATCATTTTAACACACGTTATCTAACGCGCCGGCTATTATCATGTACTACTACAATCACTTCGCTATTTCCTCGAAAACTTCTGCGACCGTACCACCCTCTATTGGGTTCTACTCGCGAAATTATCACGCGAATCTGCATTTACACGTTGGTACCGTCTGCGGTTCCGTCCGCAAACTCCATCGTCACAAACGATCTCCGCGTTAAATTCCGCAAATGTCAACTGCTTCCCGTTCGCTATGTTAAACCGCGTATCGTGTGTAAACGAAACGCCGTTGCTTTCGTGGGCGAATTTGTGCCATTGATACATCCGTTCCCGCTTCACCGAACCAATCCTGTCTGATCCACTCGTTAATTACTCTCAATCCCCTTAAATTGATCACTGTTGCGGTGGCGACGCCATTATGGCTCATCGATCGATCTTCGATACACGACCGCTCGCACTTTCCGCCCCACCTTTTCTTTTGTGTCGTTCTGTAATTTATGTGCGGCTTGAACCTTTTTCATCCATTTCTCTCATATCACCCCTTTCCACGGCGTCCATTTATTTAATATTTCGCTTTTTACTCGTATGTATCGATTATTGTCGATTGCAACACAATAATGTAATTTTACTCAATTTATATTTCATTGCCGATCGGTTCGTTTAATCCCATTTTTATGACGCTCGCGTCACGTGATTTTTCTATTTTAACTGGACAGCCCTGTTGTCAGGCACCCTGAAGACCTATCAACGCGCGGCTTGCGACGAAGAAACGATGACGTTGAAATGCCCGCCCGGTACAACCATCCTTGTCGAACACGCTCAATATGGAAGAACGGGAATGTACGGCATCAGCAAATGCAACTCGTCCGTTCCTCCGATGATCGCTGGGGACAAACCGACGAATCACACATGCGTCTGGCCGCAATCAGTGCAGGTATGTGCCAATGAATTTCTCTCATTCCGCACAGGTAAATGCCGATCGAGCAGCGCAGCGTGTGCGGTTTTCAAGTTTGTTGAAAATTACTGCCGTGTGAATGAATAACTGATCGAGTTAATTGATTTAGAAACCTCTGAAAAGATTAAATATAAAATTTTATGTCGATAAAAGTTTTTTGATAATATTATTTTTTATTACAAAATAATCAACTTTTCTTTCCTGTTGAAAAAAATTTCTTCTTGTTTTTTTTTTTAATAATTAAAGTCTTCTTAGGCTGTAATTGATTATAGCACTGTACTAATAAGTTGTATTTTATATATGCTGATATTTTATAATATAGTTTTTTTTTTTTTAATTGTAGCGTACAAAAATTGACATTAAACTATGCCAATGTTGAAGTTCGACGAGCTATTAATATAACATATTCTTTTTGTCACAAATTAAAAGGCAGATCACATAGGTATTTCTCGTGTAATGACGTAGCATGAACTTCGCAAATTTGCTAAACTTTGGTAAGACATGATTCTATTCTGCCGAAAGTTTAATATTTGAACGTACTTTAAATTCCGATTATCTTTCGATTCTACCTCCTCAGCTTCCGAAAGGAAGTTTCGCGAGTCCAAACTCTCCGTTCAATCTAAGGCGCCTAAATTCGGAAGTTCTGAAGAATTCGTGCGTCAATCAAATATAGGATGTGTCATCTCCGTTTCATAACATTTTGACATCGCGTTTCAGGACATCACGATTGTTCGTTCTACCCTGATACAGCTGAAAGAGATTTCACGCCGTCATTCACGGCTGCTCCATTTCTGTGACAACACTTTCGTTTCTCGGTTCCCTTCGCTCCGAAACTTTATTCAATGTTTTACATTTATTAGCTCTTCGCGAACTCCTCAATTCTAATCCGGAGGTGGGTGTGGATGATATATTCATCCTACTTTCGTCTTCTTTTCGTTCTACCCCACGTGTGAGTACCGAACTGGAAAGAATCGTAAACCGAATCCGACCTCTTTTCTGGGGTTAACCTTCGTACACTTCAAGCGTCGTAAACCTCGAACGCACGAACTTGTGTATATGAATCAGAGCTCAGTCATTTCTTATTTTTCGGACGATTTTACGCAAGATCGACATTGCTGCAGTTCTTCCTATATTGTAATCATTTTTATCGGTTTTCCATTTTATGCTAAATATAGCGCATGACCCAATAAAAAATTCTATTTATATTAATATGTAAAACTGATTGTCAAAATTTAAGAAGCTATAACATTTCGTATTCTCGTCTCTGCCTTTATTTTTCGTTCCGTGCGATTTTTCAAAATTGTCAGCGAGTTCGATTTAAGCGAAGTAGCTAAAGGAAGAAGCTTCGTCAAAGACGACGCAAACACGCAATTCAAATGTAACTGTAAACATCGTCAAAGGAGTTTCTCGCGAAATTTTCGCGAGAATGGTAATCGAGCAAGTCGGGAAGTTGTAGGAAAATCGGTTTGTACGATTTATTCTCTCAACAGAAATGCAACGGCGGGAAGAAACTCCGGCGAGAAAAGTCCGCGGAGAATGCGCCTTCACGAAAACTTGTTTTCTTTGAGCGTAATTCACTGGCAATTATGGATCTCGCGCGAGGGCGGGAAAAAGGGATACGTTGCGCGTCGGTCTAAAATCTTGGTTTGCGAAATAATGGCAACTGACCTGAAAACGGCACCCCTGTGTTTCGCGAAGCGTGCAACTGACAAATTCGTTTGAGGTCGCGCGGGCTAAAGAGAAGAGGGTGGAAGCGACTCAGCGGTGTAACGAGATTGTCGAGTAAGGTGTTCTTAGAAAATACGCTTTTTCAGTCTTTTTTTAGACGTTAAATTATTTATTTATTTAGACAGATTTACACGATTTAATTTTATTCAAGCGAAAATCGAGTACAAGATTAGTAATGATCTTTTGCGAGTGTTTTTCTTAATTGAAACTTGCTCTTTATGATGAAACTTGGGTATTACGGACGTATAATAAAGAAAGTTTTATGTCAGCGTCATTGAGCAACGGTCTTCGGAAGGATCAAGCGTCTCTCGTGGTAAATCAGAATGATCTCCGTTTCTATTCTCTCAGGAAAAAAAAACGCCTTATTCGCACGGCATTGCGATATAATAACTTATCTTCGGTATACAATAAAAATCTTCACTGGTATCCATCGGTTTGCGGTTTTCGCGAGTCCACGTATCGATTTCATATTTCATATTCCACCGACCGAGGAAGGAACCATTGTACGTATATGATCCCACCAGAATGCGAAAATGGAGTAACTCTTTTATTTCGTCGACGATCTTATCCTCTTCTGCGGATCTTGCTTTTCACAAGATTTACGCTTTCTCTTGCACACTGCGCGATATTTTTTAGCTACTGGATATACGATTCGTCTGACGACACTTACTCCTTAAAGTATAAATTTTATAAAACGCTGTAAAATTTGCCCTTTTTCACATTTTTATTCGTACATTTATATGTGCCATATTAGTGTGACATATTATCTACTAGAATTATGCTTCCGAGAAATAGAATCTTCATTTATTCTTTTACGAAAGATCGAACCGTAAAATAGTGATAAGTATAGCTTTACGATGTACTCAATAACCCGCCTTACACCAATGACTATCCATATAATGTTTTCAACGGGATTTATAACGCTTTTGGGTCCATTCTACAGGCAGATTGTAACGTATCCTACGGAGAGAACCAATGATGGTCGATAGTTCAATGGGTCAGACACCGTGGAAGAAATTTCTTTCTGAACGATTTATTTGATTTCTTAACAAAAGGGGTCGACTCATAAAACAAGTCCATAGTGAAGTGTGCGTAATCTATATATTTACTATGTTTTCATACATTGGATCACCTACGATTACAGTTACTATGTGGACAATTTATGGAGTTCTAAAATACTTTCATTCGCTATTCACCGCTTTTGACTTTAGAGAGCTTATGTAAAATTTAAATTTATTCAATTATCGAACACAAAATTCAACAGATATAGAAATTTAAACAATTGCAGAATGTATGAGAATTTAGAAATCATGAAAAATATCTGAAGAGTGAATAATATATCTATACAAAATTTATCTATATATTATTGATGGGCTGATAGAACGCTCCATTTCCTTTAAATGTCATAAAGGGAAATAAATATAGCGTAACGACATGTTCTTCTATAATAGAGGAAACCTAATTGAATCACACATATTATATTCTCGAAATGACTTTTCCTCTGGCTTTTTGTCTAATTTTGATTTGATCTAACAATAAGATATTTGATGCCGAAGCATGAGATGGAATATCCTGCTTTTAGTTCTGGTTAATAGTTTATATCGTTATATTCGTATTTATCACGATTGAATTGACAGTATTATTCGTTTGAGATCACATCGCGATCGCTCGCTCCATTACTTCCATTACATACGAGAAATTCCCGGTCGCCCGATGACGGTCTTGTTTCCACGGCGGAAGCGTTTCCAGCACGACTTGCATCACGTGAACGAATCAGCGCCGCGGCGGTACTTTTCCCCGGGTGCAGGTTGCATGGGAATTTTCGATGCCGGAAAGGCGTATCCCTGAATGAAGGCGTATTCCCTGTAGAACCATAAGGAGAGTTCGACTCGAAAGTGGCTCCGTGCCTTGCCGAGCGATTCGAATCTCGCGAAAGGGCTTTTCCGCGCGAGTGCTTACCCTCTGCGCAACTTCTCGGCGACATACGTCGCTGCTTCCATAAAGAGGTAGGAATTTAAAGTCGCGGCTTGCTGGAATAAAAGCGACGGGTGCGCTAGACGCGTTCTTCCGCGAGGAATGTATGTAAATCGCGACTGAACGGAAGATCAAGGACCGAAGTGAATGTGCAAATATCGATAACGAGGATTCGGAAGAAGGTATATTTATATAAACGAGCGGATATTATGAAATATGTATTTAAACGGAATTAAAGATAAAGGGAGATAGATCGAGATCGATAAGGTAGAGGAGCATAAGGGAAATAGACTCGATTTACGGCCCGGGTTTTGTTGCTAGGTCAGACGTCTCACTCTAAAGATTGAGACCCGATATGCCGATCCTTTGGTTTATAGTTGGATTTTATCGCCCGAGGACTTACATTGGTTTTGTGGCGCTTTTGTACATTTAGTGCGCTGCGCTATAAACCTAAATTCTTATTCTTGTCGCGCGTCACATATAAATATTTGCGAGAGATACGCGAATAACGAGCGTATCTCCTAAAAGATGTTGCGGGGCCTCCGTGTATTGTTGATTGTGTTGCCTCACGGCAAATCGAAGTAGCTCAACTAATATTAAAGTGATGGTCCTATACTTGTGTCGAGATTGGTTTGTTAGTTTACGGTATCGCGTCCTCGTACAACAGCAAGAGAAACGTAGCGGTTTAAGGGAATTACGCGTTCTGACTTTGGCCCCTGGGGCAAAGTTGCTCGACGGAACGGTAAACGTTTACTTATAGTGACGGACGACATGGAAACGGTCAGAATGTATCGACGCACGCGGAAAATCGATTTCCCCCGCGGGAACCGTCGCCGCATGCACGTGAAATGCAGGAGAATGGCCCAAGACGGAAACTCCGAAAGCCGATAATTAGATGGATATCGTATATATATAGAGCACGAAGAACACATACGCGGGTCGTATGTGGATTGTGGGAATCCCGATGCGAATGGCTCGGTAGCAGCTTGAAACCTGGAAACGTAATTTCCACATTTTCCACGGCGAAATCTTCCGTCCTTCTTCACTTCCCACTTCCCACGGGATATTACAACTATTACAACGAACACTTTTTTCCGCATTTTCGTGAGTGAGGTCATCGATTTTCAATTATCGCACATGACACGAGATGAGTAGACGTAATCGAAAGTAAAAAAAAAGAACCGGATTAATATGCAGTGGAAATATCTTTTTATTAACATAAGTTTGAAATTAAAATGTGAAAAGAAATAATATTATTCAATTCAATAAGAAAGCTAAAGCTTTCTTAAAACTAAAATCTCGAGGTCATTCGCGTGCCTTTGCATTTTTTTTCGTATTTCATATGATACCTTTACAGTTACTGACGTAGAGTTTACCCCGATTAAAATTACCGCTCACTTCATTAAGATGCCGCTCATGTAACGCGATTAAATTGCGTTTAACGTAATCAAGCTTGAATGAGGTAATGTAACTCGAGTCTTCGCATGCAATTAGCCGATTGAAAATGGAATCCTAGGAATTCTCGGCGATGTGCGGATATCACCAAGTGATATCGGATAACCAATGACTCCTCAGGAACGCGAAACCTAGAAAGCTGATTTTCCGTGATGACGTTACTCGCTTTCGACAGCCGATGCTTTTACATCACTCAAGTGGAAGTTTCCTTTAATTAAAAAACCGGTACAATATTTTCTTTTACGTACTCGCTCGCGATTTTATCACTTCCGTTCTATCTTCCGCAGGATCCAATTCCGCGTTTCCGGATAACGTTAAAAACGCATTTCCGTGAAAGCTGAAACATGACTTTTATTTCAGTTTTTGTTAAAAAGATTTTAACCGTTTATTACATAACTGACCTGTATTCTGACATTTTTTATCCATTTATGAATATTTGCAATTTGTCCTTTGTAATATGATGTTTACGGGGCGAGTTAAAAATTCAAATTTGTTTATTTATATCTCTACGAGCAACCCCATCGCTAATCTTGTCGATTTATTCTCACATTGCACGCAAATATTGGCACATGACATACAATTTCGTTATGCTGGTTGACCTCAACGATATTAGTTTTACTTTGTCCGACGGTTTCATAAAAAAAAGCAGAAATAATCTCATTTCAAACTCGTCGGCCGAAAGGCTCGGCCACAAAATTAAGTCTTTATTTCATGTAAAAGCTAAATGGCTCAGTTGAAGTTGTCACAGTTTGTCCACCATTGTTGATGTCTTTTTTTTTATCCGGATGAATACCCTTTATAACAATTGCAATAACCGCGTCAAAAGGTGCAGCCACTGTAATTTCAAGCTTCGACTTCAAAGTCAAAGCACCATCGAACTAGATTGCTCCGTTGGTCTGTTTGTTCATGTTATCATATTAATCTCCGTTGAATTTTCTCTTCTTTTATCTCACACTGAAAAAAAATTTGTTAATTCCAGAAAATATTTAGTCCGATACAAGTAACTAAACATGTTAGTTAACTAAACATTAGTTGTTTCAACAATTATTAAGTTGCACTAAAAAAGATATAAATGCATTCATGTCAACTTTTAGAATTTTTTAATCAAGAATTAATTACTTCAACTGATATTTAGTTAAACTAACTAAAAAATTTAGTTGCTTGTATCGGACTAAATATTTTTTGAGATTAACAAATTTTTTTTCTCAGTGCAGTTATCTATAGAATTAGTTAATACTAATTTCAGAATATACTTGCATTATTCTAAGAAATTCTAAAAAATTTTAACAGATTTTGCTTTCTCTAAACATTTTAAACATTACAATTTTAATAAATAATTCAACGCGGTGTTTGATTTGGAATGATATATGTATATATATATATATATATATTGGATGCTTTCCATTTAGTGACACAAGTCGACACAAATGTTGTTCTATCTTTCTTGACATTCAATGAGTAACAAAGACAGAACGAGACTTATGTTGACTTGTGTCAGTAAATGGAAAACACCCATTAATTAATGTCGCTTTTGCGATTTATCGCCAGACAATAATTTTCTATTTTATTGCAAACGATATTTCAGCTCGGTCTTTAATTAAAGATATTTCTTTTGTAATAATATATTATTCTAGAAAGTATAAAATTCCAACATTCCTTAACCCTCCAATAGGCGCGTGAAAATTAGAAACGTAAAAGGGTGCACGGAGTGGAGTGTAAATTACATCCCATTATTTATGTTATAAATATTAAACCAATTAATATTTTTAATTTTCTGTTTAATATTATTTGTTGTTGCACATATTTTAAAGTATATTAATAAGTTAAAACTTTAATTTTAATGTCTTTTCGATAATAATTGGTTCTGCATTGAAATGAGTTCAGAATACTCATTAGGAGAAAAGAAACTCATTAGGAGTAAAATACACCCCACGCGCCCACTGAGGAGGGGGCGATTTATAATGCCCGATCAGAAGAGATATACAAGCTGATATATTTCGTATTCTTATCGGTTCCGATCGCAAAGTGAGCGGATCTTCTCATTGACGCGTTAGCACTCACTGTTGCAGATGGTGGTTGGAGTCTGTCAGAAAAAGCGGCAGTGCAAATTCAACACTAACCCGAAGACCTTCCAAGGTGATCCCTGCCCCGGATTACGGAAGTACATCGAAGTCGCCTACAAATGCCGTCCTTGTAAGTATCCTCATCCGTATATATATGCAGATACATTCACATATACGTCTCTGAACGGATGCACGCGCGAACGTGCGCGAGGAGACGCGAGATCGAGCTGCGCTTTTGGGAGAGAGAGAGAGAGAAGGGATCGTTTTTCTCCGAGACATCCGATTCCTTTTTATGCGAACATCGAGCGTTAGGTCGGTTCGCCGCGCGCATAAGAACCCGGCGATATCGATGAAATTCCTCACGCGACACGCACGACGGATCGGCGGAAGATTCGCGGGGAAATTCTCAGGCGCGACGTGATCCGGCAAATTCCGGCGGCTGCGGGAATATTTACTGCGGATAAAAACGTAATTTTGCCATCATTCCGAGATCGAGTAGAAATTCAAGTAAAATCCTGACTATACAAGTAATATGTCTTCCTATCACGACTTTATTTTATTAGTGGTTGCCCGTATTTTACGGCGAGTTTATCCACTACTTTACGCAGTTAGACAGATGACTATGGATAAGATTTAAAAAATTAATTTTAAACAAAATGATATAATAATTTATTTGTCTCTTCTCGAAGAGCCAGTTTTAACGCTCTTGCTTCGGACGTCGAAGTTTATAAATTCTCGCTTTATATTACATAGAATTTCATTGTATTTGCCGAGCTTAGCGCGAATACGAACAAAACCATAAACTGTAACGAAATGATATCAGAGATCTATAACATACGCATTCCCCTAAAGCAACGAAGACAACCTGTTGCAGTAACAAGCTTCAAGTAATTTTTGCTGCGGAGTATATAGCAAATACTCCATCGCGGCGCGTTTTACATTCTGTAGGTCCGCGCCGGTTCCTGCAGCCGTGCTCAAGCCACAGTCATCTCATTGTTTACTGCGCACACGGTAAATCCAAGTGCTTTTTCGGGGCACTACCGGCAGCGTTAAATCACTCTGCAGAACAAAGGTGTGTCAGTTTCGTGTGTTGAAAAAGCTTATCGGCAAAACATAAGCGCAAGAAACATGGTTTCGTAACTGGTTTATTTTAGTTCGATATTATACGGGAATGTTGAATAGCAAACTTGTGCAATATGCTTATTATTTCTTTGTTTTCTTTCACAAATTCAAATACACAAGACGTTTTTAACTAAACAGAAAATATTAAACGTATTGTACATTGTAGGTACTATTGAAATTTAGCTCTCGAATTGAATGGAAAGCAATATACATTTTTTTTTACACATTTTGATTATTTACAATGGATTTGCTCTAAATCGCGGATTTGTCACGTTGCATGTTACACTTTTAAAATATTGCGTACACTTTTTTATGCCATTTGCACCAAAACAAATCTGATAACATTGAAGTACTAAATGCATTATTTTTTATATTCCATATAACCATATACATATGGCGTTAACAAGATATGATATAAAAGTTATTTCAATTTTAAAAAAATGTCATATTTTGCATTTTAAAACGAATGTTTTTTTATCTACAAATATTATTAAAAGTCGTAAAATAAACATTATTACATTTAAAAATTTTACATTTTAAAATCGTCTACTTTGTAGACGAATTTTTGAAGTGACTCGTATAGCATACTTTATGTTAATTATTGTTAATTATTTTTATTATCATACATATACATATGTACATGTAAGTAATTTTTGATTAACCTGTTAGCTTTAACTGTTACTAAAAAATAGTTTTTAAAGAATAGACACAACATAGTAAAAATATTATGTTCATCAAATTAATGTAATTAAATGCGCGGTAAAGATAGCATTGAGTGAACGAAAAATACAGCATTTAATATATCCAATGCTTATTTAATTGTAGAGTAACTTACAAGACAATTTTTGCTTAACAAGCTTCGCAATTAGCCTGCGAGATTATTTTCAGAAGAACAGTGAGCGCAGAAACGTCGAACACTTGAACAGATACGAAGAAAAGTTCGGGGAAACGAGAGTACATATTATGGCGAGTGAGGTTGAGAAGTTTTCGTGCCGTATTTGCGCCATGTAATATAGAAGACAATAGCTTTGAATACCGTCTCGGAAGTTCTTGCCTTAAGATCTTTCGGAATAATTTTTAACCATAAAAAGATTGTGATCAAACGTAAAGAGCACTTCAAAAATAATTTTCTCTTTAAGATCTGCATATCTAACGAGAATAAGTGATAAAAAAAATGTTTTTGAGAGCAAACGATTTATTTTAGACTAATTGAGAGATACTTTTGTTAACTTAAAATTCTCAAAAAGAACAAGTAAAAATATTTTAATATTTAATATATTTATATAATGTTGTATTAATATCTACTAAATTAATATTACATGTTATATATTGTATTAAATGTTATATAACGTGATACATATGATATAATCGTGTTTTGAGTAGTATCGCAGTAGTAAAACCATTTATAAGTGGACAAGTAGTATAGATCGACAATTTGAATAGCAGATTATTCGTAGATGTAACAAACTAATAAATAGATTAGTTCTTGAAAAGACTCATTAGAAAAGTCGAAACGTTAAATAAGTTTTATCTATAAAACAAATATTGTATTATTTATTAGTATGTGTATTTATGATCATGTAAATTCTCATATTACTTCACTAGTTTTGCAGTGTAATAATATAAAGTAATATATAATATGAACATTTAATTAATTTTTATTGCATGAAAAGGATAGATTGCATGAAAAATAATAAATGTGAAAATTAAGGGATAAATTTATATATGCTGTTTTAATACATAAAACTTCAGGCGACAGATTATATATAACGCAAGTTATTTCGCACATCGTTTTTCGCACTGATAGTTCTGTAAAGTACAGCTTAAGTATAACGCGTAATTTTCTGGCTGCGAAATGATGAGTGCAGGAAACTATAAGCGAGAAACCCCTGTGTTCCGCGAAACGTTCATTTTACAAAACTTTTATTTTAATTTTTTTTTTGTTAAGAATACCGTGTCGCATACAACGACGAAATAAAAGCAAGCAGTCATTTAGAAAGTATGCGGTTGCACTTCGCAGTTCACCAACGGACACATAGGAAATATGACGATAATGGCAACGCTTTAGACAAAAGTTTATTCTTGCCGCAGTTTTTATTATGTGCAGTAACATATGCGTGTCCGTTGCAACTGCTCACGCAACTTTGCTACTATTACGTTATAATACTTTTATTATTTTATATAAATCCATCGTGTGTAACACACATTGAATATGCAAACTGCAGAATTTCAAAATTCTGTAACTTTATTTTAATTACAATGACATTTTCAGGCAAGCGAATGTTTTCTCATTATTCTCTAACAATACGATGCCATCTATAAATTAATAACTTTGACGTCAAATTAAATTCTGCTTATAGCACATGTATAGTGAAATGTAGATACGCGTATATTCGACGATTTTACGATACATTTTTATCGAAACAGAGAGAAAGAGGGACAAAGAGAGAAGAACCCATTATCTCCGAATGAAGTTCTATTCGTGAATCCATTAAAATGTATATTCGCGTTCCGCGTATTTACATCCGTCACAACTTCGCCCGAAAACGAAACGCTGGGATGACGCGTTGTACGTGGCTAACGCGGTTGTCCTCTGTAATACATCAACGGGACGATTACATATTACAGGTGTCGCGTTACGTGCCAAAGCCAGCCGACACCTCACGCGTCGCCCGCAAATCTATCCGGCGACAACACGTGCCACTTATTGCACCGATGTACACGCACAATAAGCTGCGTATACGAACGTGCTTAATCTGTCTAATCAATTTTTGCCCCCGTTCATCCGACCGATGATCAATGTAATGAGGAGTAAACGAGGTAGCTTCATGTTTCGCATCGCGATGAGATTTGCAACGCGCATAATGAGCACTCAGATCGCAACCGGATAGTGTTTATGTATACCTGAATGCGATTGACGAATATAAGCATATTTGTAGAAAACCGATTTCTCGATCTGCGTTTATATACGCAATCTAAAAGTATAATTTATTTTAAAACTTCAAAAATTGTTGCAGTGATTTTTTCGTATGTATTGGTTGAGATACATTATTACATTAACTAGTGAATAATGCAATTATTTATCACACGTTTGCTTAATAATTCGTAGCGTGTAATTGTACCTGTCCATCTATTTTTATGACTTGTTTTACGTTTTTTTTTTTAATTTATGCCACTCCTCCTGCAGAAGTCATTATTACAAGCTACGCACGATTCACCCATCTCAGGATGTAATAGACTATCCTTATCAGCTCCTTGGCTTTGTCGGTCACCCTCGACACGTATTCCTCCTCCGCGGTATTCGCGTCCACACCGCACCGAAGTAGAGTGTTCGAAAAAGGGCCGGACGTACCTTGAAAAGAATTCCATTCGTCGGCGCTACACGGGGCCGCTCCGGGTACCGACGTGCCCTGTCGGAAAGAGAAGGGCACGTACTCGCTCGCGTTTACCTCTTTTCTCGCCCCCGCCCCATGCACACGAGCATACGTGGAAACTGGAGATTCCATCGATGTCAGGAAAAGTAGGTCGATCGAAGTCCCGGCCTTTTGCTGAAAAAGCGAGGAACCGGCTCCATTGTCGCTTCGAGTAGTCCGCCGTCGAGGGAATTACCTCTCTCCCCTTTCAACCCTCTTTCCACTACTCTTCCGCGCCATGGCGGCGCTTCCTCTTTTTTGCCAATTAAAGCCCCAGACTGGACATTTCTCTCTCTCTCTCTCTCTCTCTCTCTCTCTCTCTCTCTCTCTCTCTCTCTCTCTCTCTCTCTCTCTCTCTCTCTCTCTCTCTCTCTCTCTTTCTCCCTCTCTCTTTCTCTCTCGCGCGCTCTCTTGCTCTTTCTTCCTCTCTCCTTCTTTCTCTTGCATGAGCTCCACGGAGTATCCCACGGCAATAAGGAAGTTCCGCGAGCTCTCTCGCGTATACCATGGATTCGCTCTTCCGGGCGAAATTTCACGGGCCATTGACGCCCCGGTCTTTGATATGTCCGTTGGATAGCGCTGGCCACTTCTATACGTGGATACGAGCCTCGAGAGAGCTCCGGCAAGGGTATGGCGTGGCGATTTTTGCTTTGCATGTAACGCGGCCATAATAGCGCGATACGGACAATATTCCACGTAGGAAAATCTTAGGGCTGGCGCGAACCGACGTAATCTTAATGCGCCGTGGATAATGTGGAAGATTGTATTAAAAAGAGTAAGCCATCTTCACGTTTTAAAGTCGCTTTTTATGATACCACGGTATCGCGATAGCATTAGCTTTTATTACAGCCAGGGATACTTAATTTAGGTTAGCTTAACTTTCGGATGCTATATAATCGTAGCTTAAAGAATTAGGACTTTACACCAACTTTGGGGTTTTAAGTGTTATGACTGGATACACAGATGAGAGCAATGCAAACTTTATCATTAATTGTTTTAAAGCAAAGGATTGTTTGTTAAAATAATAATAACACATCTTGTTAGAGTTGAGATTAGATGTATTTATTAGCTGTATATGGGACAGTGTAAATGGAAAATATATCTACAGCTGTAAAAGAACATGATTTATCATAGTAATTTAAAAAGCACAAAAGTACAATGTTGAAAATATAAGCGATATTGAATGAAAAATATTAAAATATGTTGTTGAAAGTAGGCCAATTGATGTTTATACTGGTAAAATTGCATGTAGAAAAAACATGTACATACGTTGAAGGAAGTAAGAGAGTGATTTATATTTGTTTTATTATATTATAGTTGAATATACAGAGTTTCAAAACTGAAACTTATAGAATTTTAAATCCAATGTATTTTAATATAGTTCTGGTCGTAACAAGACTATATTAGTACTAACAATAACTTGTTAGTTAAAGCTCGGCGCAGCTAGGTTGTATATGCGCGTAGAGAGAAAACGAAAAATATATATGAATCCAGAGAAACGCGATATTTTTGTCAGAGGAGCGAAAATATGAGCTAGAAAAAAAATGAAACTAGATGTAGGTCAGCCAATGTTTATGGTAGCACGGAGTAAAGACAAAACGGGCTGATACAGCGGATTGGTAAGATTAGCTGATGTCGTTACGTGGGTTTTGGCGCGCACTGGCGATCTTGGTGAAACTATAGCGCGTCAAACAATATGTGTGCACGGCCTCGCATCGCACGTAATTTCGCCTTAAATCGCGCGGTGGTAACCATCGGTAGCCTCGGTTCGCCGGCGGAAGAAGTTCGAAAGCCAGCCACGGCAACCACCGTAAATCGCCAACTCAATAAAGCAGGGCATAACACTTTATCTCGGAGCATAAGTGCACCCGCCGACTTCCGTGCGTGGGTAAGAAACATGGTCGCGGTATGAAAAGATGTTTCCCGGCGCGGTATCGCCTGGGTTATGGTCAAACTTGTTCTTCCGCAACAAAACCGCGATACATCAACGAGTTACCTGCACGGGGTTTCGCCGCACTCGACCGCGGGTGGATTCACCGGACGTACATCCGGAATTTTTATCGTCAATTCTGCCGCGATGAAACCGCGTTTAATAACACGCGTTTAATTGCAAGTTTACGACGGCAGGAGAGATAAGGAAATGAAGCTTTTTAAGTTCTTAAGGAAAAGGAGCTCCATTATCGTTTTGAGGAAGACAATAGCCTTATGATTTCGTTATGAAATTGTTCCGCCAAATATGAATGTTTTGCCGATAATGGTTGCACCAAGTTTACGCTTTATGAGCTGTTCTCGCAAGATTAACACTTTTTTAACTGAGAAATATCGTAACTTGTTATCCGTAATTCTTTATTAGTATCGATCGATGTATATATGTGTGATAAAGCTTTTGTTTCGTAGAAAATATTTAAGACTCGGCAAAAGGCTCTTTTAGATTTGTCCCCGTTTATTGGTTATTCACGATTAGACCTCGGTGCAGGAGGATCGGCGCAAGACCAAATGCCGGCAATCCGTAAGCTCGCAAACTGCATGCGTCCGTCGGCCGCAAGAAACTTCCCAGCGCGACGCGATCTCTGCATCTCGCAGGGGGGTTGGGCGAGAAACGCAAAAACGTGCTATCGGCAGCTGCAAGCCATTCCGCTTCATTGAAATTCGCGAGTGCAACATTACGTCGTAACGAGACGAGTAGACAACGTCTGTTTCACCCCGAGGGAACGCCCTTCCGTGAGAAGGCGATCGTGCCTCCTGCGGAGTTTCAATCGCGGAACTCACGATTCGTTGCAATCTCCGACAAAATAGAAAGTTTTTCCTTTTTTTCTCTTTTTTTTTGTTACCGCGAGAAATAAGCACGGTTGCTCCCTAATAAGGTACACTTCATATATACCGTCACGCGACACATAGTTGCATTTTGCGCGACGGCAGCGGCGCGAGCGGCGCGGTGGTGGCCGCTTTATTAAAAGCCGGTTTTGTGGTTTCAGATGAGTTCAGGAGTAAGGTGGCTTGCGAGAACGAAGTCATCAATCTCGTTTGTCATCCCGGTCAGAGGGTGGCGATTTTCAGCGCGTCCTTCGGCAGAACGCAATACGAGTCTCTGCAATGTCCGCAGCCGCTGGGCGTGCAAGAAGAAAGTAAGTGCTGCCATCAATTAATGACATCTTACGTCTCTCCTTTAATCGTAATTTACGACTTGTTGTAACTTATTTTTTTAACTCTGCCTTTTTTCATCGAGATTCCGCGACACGCCTGTTCGACATCGCATTACTCGTTATTATTATAAAGCAGTAAGTAATGCGAACATAAACTCGTGTGCTTCAACGCATTATGAACTCTCGCGTGCTCTTCACGTTTCGATATCATCTTGATTCTGTGTCGCATTGTTCCGAGTATGTCACTCGTAAAAAATATTAACGCAACGACACTCTCCGAGATTATAACTCACGTTATGCAGGCGTATCATAAATCCTGCGTGTCACTAAAGTAATGATATCCATCATCATATATTGTGTATAAATACCAAACCGAAATTCTGCAAGTCGGGCGACAAATTGTGTGATTTTCGAGACGCTTCAATTTCTAGTAATATAACGGGGGTTCGATCGATAATCTCGGTCGTTCATTTCTTCTATTTGCCGATGAGTTTTTCTGCACAGAGAAGCCCTCGAGTCGATGTTTGTCCTAGTTTATTGTCATACTTGGCGACGAGATTGCGACTCTTTCTTTCGTGGCTGCCGAAGTTTCGGATGAGGTTCGCGCGATGTGGGAAGAGAAAATTAAAGTGAGTTCTCCCGCAGGGTATTCCTGAAAAAAGAAAGGAAGTTGAGTGTTTCCGTTTCCCAAGTGGAGCGGGATAATTCAATGACCGACAGATGCATTTGAGCGCCAAATGTGACGTTTGATATCGGGAAAGCTTGTTATTCGCGTTCGCGCGCCGGGGAGAGCCGCACGTCTCTCACTTTTAATTCAGGAAGAGCGAGGAGCTTACTTGCCTCTCGTTCTTAAGACGCAGTTTTATTTAACTTTTCAAAGTAAATTCTTTTAACTCGCGAATGAATGCTCCAGTCGACCGCTCGCGTTCCCACGACGACTTTTTGTCCCGTCCAATCAATCGATTCCTACGAAAGCGCACGAAGAGAACGCTGAAACGAGGAAACGTAAACGAGAATGGCTCACTGCGAAGACCGTACTACTGATACTTTAACGATACCATTTAATTCTGAAACATTGAAACGTTTATTTTTCACGTACACATTAAAGGATGTTCTTATTTATCTGACTGGTCTTCTCTTTTAGTTTCAACATTGTATCGTGTCTCGAGTCTTTAATAATAATTCCAGTAGATTACTTTAATCATTTGAGACAATAATCCACGCATATACATGATGGAACTATTCTTATAACCTTACTAGCTACAGCTAACTAACTTTAGAGATAAAACTAGAAAGAGAGAAGGGAAGAATCAATTACTCTCAGTTAAGTTAAGTTATAAAAAAAGATTTTATTTTTTATTTGCCTTTTTACTCTTCTTAAAAGAAAATATTATTTCTGTTCCCTTTATGGGCAAAGGAAATTCTGGTTTTACAGTTGTATGAATAGCTCGGCTCTGTTCACGATGATCCAATAAATCTCTCCATTCCACACAATTCCTTGGTCCACTTATCCGGTCATCATCCGCCAACTCGTAGAGCTACCCTTTAACGCGAAGGATCGAAAGGTTGCTTGCAGCTTGAGTGCGACAATAAGGAACAAAATCTACCGAAATGGTGCCGCGTTATAATAGTGCTTTTTCGTGCTTCCTCGTCATGAATGGCTCGCGGTCGCCTTGATATCCCTTTACGAGACGCGCTGCGTCGTCACGTCTCAGGTCAACTTGAGTGATACGTACATTTTCTCGCACAAAAGCGTATCGGAAACTCCAAAGACTTCCTGCTCTTCCTTGGATTCCGTCTTCCGTCTTTTCTGTCATTCTGCATGAAATCGGATCGATATATATTCTCATTCTTTCTCCGATGCAACTGTGTATTGTCTAAGAATTTTTCCAAGTCTTAGTCAATAACGAAAACAACGTGTCACGCGGTGTCTTTTCAAATCTTTTGTAAATCATAAATGGTGTAAACAGAATCTTACATGTTTTGTAAATGTTGAACGCAAGTTCGCGAATTAAGAGATCCTTCTACTTGTCTTAGACTGGAGAGTTAATTTTATGTAGCAAATGCGTTTTGCATAATGTTTACGTAATCTTCACGTGACTTTTAATCTAACCAAGCAAAAGTGGATTTATATACGTGTAACTCTTGAAAACTCTATCTTTGTAAATTTTTGTTAAAATGAGCTAGTCATTATCGTTTTACCTTTGTGAAATTGTTATTACGAAATATACAAACTTTGTTACTTCCTGCGTAATTATCGCGTTAAATGTTCTATATGGAACATCACGAACACGAATTTCTATTAGTTTTCTTATATACTGTATATTATTATTGTTATCGTTATACTGTTACAGCTTGCATGATGGACTTTGCAACGGAAACCGTAATGCAATTATGCCACGGTAAACGACGATGCTCGGTGGTGGCTAACAGCACAACGTTTGGTAGACCAGACCCTTGCAGCCCAGACAGCAAAACGTATCTCAAAGTCGTGTACACCTGCGGTGAGCGAAAGAAATTCTCTTGCTTCAATTTTGCTGTTATGAAATGATCAAATACAGTTTGTCTTGTAATATATAGCTAATGATTTATTTTCAGAGTTAAAATATATTTTAAAAAATTAATCACATATTTATCTTTTACGAATAATATAAACGCTATAAATATCTGTCTATTAGAAATCTTGGTGTTAGAATAAGGAACAATAGCTTTTGCTAATTTTAAATACGATTATAATTGATTACTAACAAAGAGACATTCTGTGTTTTCTACCGTTCGCAACTCAGCTCGCAAATAAGATAGACAAGTTGATGATTGAGTTGCAAAATATTATGAAAAAAATAGCGGTAATGGGTACAGCATATAGTCGTACAGAGAGAAAAGTAATTACATATTTAAACGAGAAAATTGTACGAGCGTTTTTCCGAGGAATTGTAGCCGGCGGCGATTCACCGTTGCAATCCTTGAAAAGTAGCGAGAAAAACTGATATTACGAACCGTGCAATAACGTGTAGGGGGGGATCTATCCGGAGCTTGCTGCACAATGGCGTATAATGAGCACAGGAACGCTCTTCCTCTGAGGAGAAGTTATTTTATTGCAAGGTTCGAAGTGACTCGGCGCGGCAGCAACGAGTCAGCGACAGCTTTAAACAAAATGACGTCGTCGCAAGGTCTTTCCTTCAACCCGGGACGGGACTCGTACTGAATTTCGTCCTCGACATTTTTAATGGGCACTCTCCTCAGGAACGGTACGTCACGAAGAATGGCGAAAGAAACTGTTGTGAAAACTGTCGACGAAAACTAACGAGCGGCATCAGCCGGAACGTATTTCGAGCGATATTCCATGACGTCGCAGGTCGCTATCCCCCTGAGAAAACTAGAATTTTCCACGGCCATCATCGTGATACAGGTTGCAATTTCAGTCCGCGTGTTTACTTGTTTACTTATGTTCGAGCGTATCCGCAATAATAATTTTGCGCGAGCATCGATTAACGGCTACGTCGGTTATCGTCGATCGGGTTGCCACATTTTTTTTTTAACTAATAAAGAATTCGCCGCAATTTAATCAAAAAATAAAAAATAAACATGTAGAACGAGTTGTGCGGAACGTAAATGCGCACAGTCGCAATATTTGCATCGTCGTTGAATTTTCGTGCGCGAGTACACACGCTCGTGTACAAACGCTTTTCGCGGAAATCTTCGAATCTTTTCAGCGAAGCCGCGACGCCGCAATAACATTCTTCGCGAAAAGTTGCACGCGAATTGGGAGACGTTAACAGGGGAAGTTTTATACCACTACTTGCTAGATGCTTATGTCGTCCCTCGTGAGAGCGGCGCACGGTCGTCACAGTGTTACTCCATGCCCCAATTTGTTTTTTACTTTTACGAGCGAAATTACATACTTCGCGTACACGTACATTTTGTCAGTAAATAGCACAGTGTGCTCTTATAACTGGGTATTACTTTGTTGCGGAATACCTCGTTTACATTAATCGTAACCATTTTTTACCTTCTTAACAAAGGAAGGAAAGTGTAGAAAAGACGGTGCTGTGTTATAAAAAATACGCTGTAATTTTTCTTGAAACATGTAAAATTTATTCCTACCGTGGAAACTGGCTCGTGAATATTCTTCCCTATAAAACTTATTTTTAAGAAGAATAGAAGCTGAATGAGGAGAAGAAGAATTGAGAAATAATTTAAGTATCGAGATAACATTACGTATGCGGTATGAATAACATCATTTTCTAACTTAATATTTTTATTTAAAGTACCCATATTTAAGATATTTCCTTTTGATCTCGCTTCGATCACTCGGCACTTCGGAGTTAACGCGATACTCATAAATTTCGGATACATCAGTGCAGTTGTGAAATGCATTCTCCTTCATATTTTATTAATATGATACGGATTAAAATTTATTGATTGGAAAGATTCGAGCTGAATTTTTCGAGTTGAAATTAAAGTCGCGATTAAAATGGTAAGTGCCTCTTGGCACTGGAAGGATAGGGAGTCGCGTTGGCCCTTTCGTGGCTCGTCGCACGTCAAATTACCGGCCGTAAACGACCGTGCACGGATTATGATTCGTGCGACGTAGCCGAGAGAACGCATTTGTATGTGCCTGTGAATGCCCGCCGATGCGAGCTCATTAGTCAATGTCACTTCGGTTCCTGTTACCGACCGGCAACGTTTGCGAGAGAGAAAAAAAAAGGGAATCGTCGCTCGGTATTCTAATTTGGCGGCGAGTCATGCACAGTTCTTCGTGGCACGCGGCTCTCCCGGTGACCGCGGGCAAAATATGCGCATTTGTTGATACGTGAAAAAATTCGTGAAGTAATGAACGTCCGTCGATCGGAGTCGGTCGCATCTCTTCGCGATCGAACGTTTTAAAATATCGTAAAACCACATTTTACAACGATTTTTATAACAATGTTGTTGTACAATTGACTGCGCAAACGTCTGTAGAATGCTAACTTAGCGATGTGAAGGTTTTATGGTCGATTTATTAAGTTTTTCATTTTTCCACCCTTAAAAGAGCGATGCGTTCATACTTTTTTTTCAAATTGAGATTGCTTTTCCGTGTACTTAATGCCCGACTTAATATAAAAAAATTATACCGGATTTCGAAATAAGTTTCTTACTTATTCGTTGAACCACGTTTAAAGTAATTCGAGGTATTCTAAGGCAATATCAAATCTTCCTTCTTACTCATGCATATATGCGCACACGTTGCCAAGAGAACATGCTCGAGGAATAATAAAATGGCATGATAAGAAAGTAAGGCTTGTTGTGAATCGAATTTTTTCGCGGCGTAGATTGCTGATTCAAAAAATTGAATTGTACAAAAATTACGTCGAAATTATTTTATTCATTGCAATACTTTCGATAAAATTGATACTAAATACATATAGATGAAAGCATAATTATGAAATATTGATTATATTTTATAAATCATATCCCCATTATGTTCGGATATTTTGTATGCATTTTGAACTTTACTTTAATGAGATGTAGATTCAAATTACAGAGTATTGCGTGTCGAAAATATTCATATTTGAATCAAAAAAATTACATTATAATATTTTTTATTTATGTGTTGCAATAATATTATTTGTAATTTTTTACTTACATTTTCGAAGATTAGCAAGACAATAAACTATGATGTAAATGCGATCATTTAATAAGATTTTTGCGATTAAAAGATGAAAACGCATGAAAAACCGTGGATATTTTATTGACAATATAAACTTAATATGTAGCGAACGACAATACCGGAAACATTCTTTCCGTTGAGCTTGCATTCGATTGGATGACGATATTCAGAATGGAATCAAACGTACTTCCCATACTATTCATGCTATTTCTGTAAAGCGCGTGCTTTCCATACTATTCATACTATTTCTCTAAAGCACGTTGTTCGTTGTCTTCTTTGCTAAGTTCTCCCGAGGTATTTACTTGGAACAATTATCGAGCGATTTCAAAGTGTAATTGGATCCGCATGAATTATCAATGTACATCAAAGTCCCACCTCCTCCTCTTTGATCCGACACGAGCGTGGATCGTCAATCGCGCTGGAGTTGGAAGTAAAGCTCTGCAAATCCACGTTCCACGAGATAGATGTAATCGAGTCCCTATCGATTATTGCAGCATTGGAAATATGCTAATCAGGTTAGATATGATCAGGATATATTTATTATCAATAATATAACAAAATTGGCGAAGTACACAAGAATACGAGTTATCCATTATGATTCTGACTCGTTAAATTGGATGTTTGCCTAAACTTTACATGCAGGTTTTAGTAATACGATTAAAAATAATCGTTCGTAAAATATTTTATTTTTTGACGAAGAAGTAAAAAACTCATCTTTTAGATATAATTCAATTCTATTCTGTACTTTTTCTTTTTCTTTTTTTTTTCTTAAATTGAAACAGTAAAAATAATAAAAAGACGCTTCTTAAGAATTACTCGGACATTATAAGGATATAAAGTCAGTGATAAAATGCTCTTTCCATAATACGTGTATAAAATTTTTAATCGTCACAAATTAGTCTCCGCACGCTAAACATATATTTTTCCGCGAGGTAATATCCGCGAAGTAAAAAATCTCTCTTTCAAGCGGAACTTATTTACAGCAGAAGCTATTAAAGAACTATGCTGGTAGGAATAAGAGAAGGGTAAACTTCAGGGAAAAAAATATTCAAAGCATGTGTTTTTTTCTGGTGGTATGCGAACTTTCATAATTTATAAGAGGCAAAACACGGTACCATCTACAAAGCCGGATAAAGTAACTCCTGATTCCATTCATCAACTCTATTTATAAACGGTGGTTTATTAACCGTAAAAGTTTATTCCATCACTGTCGTTTGCACTTAACTCAACGTTGTTTCGATTTGTGTAATTAGATTCGCGTGGCTAAAAGTTTCAGGATTTTTCATGAAAGATACCAAAGACAGATTTACCTTGTTAACTATCACTTATATATATAGAAAACAATTTAACCCAACAATAAATATTCCATAAAGTAATTTCCTGTTTCTAAAATTACATTGCAAATATTGTATTATTTTCTAATGAAATTAATTTTTCAATTGTAATTATTTTCTGATAAAATTAATTTTTTGTATTTGTGTTAATTCTAATGCTCTTCTCTATTCGATTCGACAGTAACGACGTTCAATAATTCCAACAAAGTTTAGGTACTAATCGTTAAATATTACATAGCTAAACTTTTCCAGATAACGTTGCTTGATTAATCATAAATCATGATAATGGTTATTAGCTGGTGTTACGTACAACGAGAATGAGCAACTTGAGAATTCTCCTCTGTTATATATTACGTTTGTTACATTAATTATTATCCACGTCTCTTCAACGATAGAAGCTAAATTCGTTGGATTTCACCATCCATTTCCCTGGTACAAACTGAATCACCCGTTGATTTCACACATGGGATCTCGTTGACAAAGTGAATGTACATACGTAGCCTACATCCAAAGCCAAATC